ACACCCTATTTATCATCTCTCGGTTGCGTCTTTGGGCATATATAATATATAGACACTCGGGTCCCCACGTTAAAAACCGATCTTGTGTCACAACCTGACTTAGTGGGGAGTCAAGTAAATCAATTCCTCCCTCAAGGAGTTTGTAACACATCTATTTATCATCTCTCAGTTGCGTCTCTCTCTTTGGGCCGTGCGCTCAGGAGCTTCTCTGTCAAGGGACAGAGGGGCAACTGAGGAAAATAATACTGAGAGGTGCCAAGCCCTGGGGAACAGCTGCCCGAGTCCGCGCTCTCTCATGGCACCAGAGAGGGGGATCGGTGCTTGCACTGTGGTCATTGCAACCGACAGTTGCGGGGGCTCGGGGAATTTTTGTTCTAGCCCGGATGTACGCGCTCCCCACATTAAACTGACCTTGTCACAATGCGACTTCGTGGGGAGTCGAGTAAATACCAAATTAGTATAAAGTAGAGCTGGGGCTTTTTAATCTCGTAATTCGTGGGAAAATTACGCTCCAATTTCACATTTATTCATGTAGATTCCATAATATAGCTTTTATTTAATCATACTTATTATAAAACCCAGGTTGTGTGTGTGTATGTTTATATATTGGATCGGATTTCTTACATTTTTCAACCGATTTCAACAAAACTTCACAGGACTACGTAAAATTACCTTGCGGTGGTTTTGACAGCGCCAAAACTTGGAAAAACACAATTGTTTTTGCACAAAATCAATTTGAAAACACGATTAAGAGGCATCGCTGTGAGAATGAAAGGGGGACAACTCATATCAAGTTATACTTATTATAAAACCCAGGTTGTTTGTGTGTGTGTGTTCGTTTATATATAGGATCGGATTTCCTATATTTTTCAACCGATTTCAACAAAACTTCACTTTTTTTTGGCAGGTAGTGTTTCTTATTGTCTTGCACACTTTTTTCTTTATTTTTACATTCAGAATGCTTTAAAAATTCCATTTACAAGACAATTGTTTATAATAAAATTCTATTCAATCGGTAGACTCATAACGATTGAAAACAATGTGTTTGAGTTTGGGTTTGACCAATTCGTAAACAAAAAAAAAATAATTAAGACATGTGTCCGTCAACCTTAAACAATAATCTTTGTCAATTTTATTTTTCAGTCTTTATGATGGTCGATACTTGATCTATCTCTTGCTGTTACATCCCCGGGCAACGCCGGGCTCTACTGCTAGTTAGCTACTATGTTTCTCTAGCTCTTCAAATGTTGAATGTATCACTAAATCTAATTTCTATTTTCCCATATTTACATTATATTAATTTTATCTTATAAATTGTCCCCTGTTCTGTCACCCATGAAATAAAAGTAATTGTTTGTACGGAAAATAAGGATCTACGTACATCAAATCGTCTTTAAATTAAGTGGCAACAGAAGAATTATCGTTGAACTTTTAAAAGATAAGCTTAAACATTAATTCAATACTTAAATGCAGCAATCAATTTTGAGTTCTTTAGTTTATTGATGCCTATCGAATCTACTCCTCCCTCGCTATTGTGATGGCCAAACCAAGAGTCCCCCCACAGGAGCTAGCTTAAATGCTGCCCGATAGAGCCGCTTTAAAGCTAGTTGCAATTTTTGATACAAAAGGAAAATTCAGTTACTCTCCTTGAACCATGAAAGCAACGATAATGGCTAGTATAATGTATTAATATATATTTTTTAACCTCGCATAATCTGGCAATCCTGAATCTGAGCTCAACGAAAATCGTTCCCTGCGACTAACTTTTCTGGGGCTTTTGAATGAGCTATGAATCATTGAAATCAGACCAGTGGGAGCAGAGGAGTTGCTTGGACACACACACACACACACAAACACAAACAGTACTTTATATATAAGATTTTTGGAAGATTTACTCGTTCATTTTCGAGCGTGATGACATTTTAGTACGCGTGAGTGATCAGTAAATTAAACATTTAAATTTATTTTCTATTCTCAATAAATCTTTTTTAGAGCGCTTAAGTTTATTCTTTTTTAATTTTTTGTTGTGTGTGTAGTGTACATATTTTTGTTGCTGTGTAAGATTACTTGCTTTGACTTTTTCAAAACATCTTGTAAAATTCCTGTCTTCCTTGTATTTTTTTTCCTTTTTGGTGAAAAAGAAACTCTGTAGTAAAGATTTTTAAAAATAAAAAGATGAATAAAAAATAATTCTGTAGTATAAAATTAAATTCCCATGTTTAATATTTTATGACCCCCCCCCTCCGTTGATTTGGCATATTCGCAAACTTCACCCTCAAGTACAAAGTTTATTTTAAAATTTAAACTTGATTAATGTTTTATCCAGAAAGAAATTGACTGTAAATTTTTCTGCTAATAATTTTAGGCTTAAAAAGAAAAGAAAAAACCTATTTTTTTTCCAAATCGAATGTAATTTGTTTTGTTATGTTGAATTGAGCTTTAAAATAATTAATGTTAACGAACGAACGAACAAGTAATAAAAAATAAGATTTGTCAGCATAAGTTTGGTTGAGTTTTCTTATTCCATGAGTCATTTCAACTTTTCAAGGCAAATGAACGTTACTTTGCGGCGGGGCCCATCTGCTCTCTAACATGCAATTACACACGGTACCAACGGCGGGGAGTATTTGGTTCATATCTTTTCCAAAGTCATTAGTGCGAAGTGAACTCAAACTACCTCCGCAGGAATTTGAACTCCGTTCGCTTATTCCATTTTTTTTTTTTACCGTGTTGCTCTAAACTAAATTTTCATTTAACAACTTCAATGACCATAGTTTTGTTTGAGGATCGAACTCGCTACTGCGCACACACACGCACACACACGCACACACGAGTTTGCTAACTTTATACTTCGTGCAGCGGTGCCCCACATTTATTTTAAAGTTTTGATTTTTAAAAATCAATGAATTTGTTTCCTTTGAAAACCACAACAATTGTAACAATTGTATCGCGAGTATGGTCATTTAAATACATTTATATTGCCTCAGCTGCGTGTTGTAGTTGTACTTACTTCATTTGATTGAAGTGGTCTATGTCGTCATGGGTGTTTTTGATAAAAGAAAAGGTACAGTTGAAATTTTGTATTTTTTTGCATTAAATTTAAAACTTTAAAATATTTAAATTTTTAATCTATTCACATTTTGCTTGCTATAAGACAGGAATTCTACTCTTGCCATGTACCACTTAAAAATATAGTTTTTAACAAGTACTTTATAAGAAATTAATTAAAATAAAAATTTTCATCCTGAAAGTTGTAACATTTTTTTTTAAACCAGCGATAATTCATAAATTATTTACCTTTAATGTTACGAATTTGGATTTTTTTTTTTCACTAAAATAATTTATCAATTATCGCTGGTTAAATGTTACAACTTCAGGATGAAAATTTTTATTTTAATTAATTTCTTATAAAGTACTTAAAAACTATATTTTTTAAAGTGATGGCAAGTGTAATTCCTGTCTTATAGCAAGCAAAATTCTGTTGTTGAAGGGACTTCGGGTCTGTACTTTTCCCATCTAGCACTAAAATGGAAATGATTACTTTGCGTTTCTTTCTTTTTTTCTTCTTTGCATAATGTTAATGAAGCAGACATGACATTCAATTAATAAATTCATCTTTTTTGTTTTCATTACGTTTCGACCGTTGTGCCTTCCCGTCTTCCTCAGGTGTATTGATTTGGTTGGGTAACCTACAGGGAAAGGGAAATCCTTTATTTAATCTGTTCTTGTTCCACTGCCTATGTCTAGGGATATCTCATCTAGTTCTTATTTTTAGTACTGCTCAGTTAATGCTCGCCCGAGTCCAGGTAAACACTGCCCGATCCATGGATTGAACTCATAACCAAATTCACGAATAAACGTTTTAATCCGCTGTCCAATAGGACAATTTTCTGTATTGAATATTTTCCTGGTAGGAACACTTAAGAATTTGCATGTCAATATTTATTTGTTCTCTAAGCTTTGCAGTCGAGAATAATGTCATTACTAGAGAATACTTTTAAAATAGTCAATAAGATGAACGTTTTTTCAAATATCCAAATGTAACTATGCTTGAACCACTTTTAAGGTCAGAATTTATTGAAATTCTTGTGTGCAGATGTTTCATTTTAATATTTCTAGTGAAAGTTGTCATGAAAATTTGATTTTTCTTTTATATCTTAGAATTTTTTATTATCGTTATTATTATTTAAAAATTATAAATTAAAAAAAAATGTCAAACTCAGGAATTTCTTCTGTTTTTATATTTCTCTCTATGTGAAATATTATCTTTTAATCATTTCACCCCAAACAAGGCAATAAAGCCACTAAGATGCAAAGGCTTACTGGAGGTGAAAAAATATAAGAAAAATAATAAAATTGAGGAGAGAAGTATAAAAGAACAGGAATTATGAAGACAAGATAATTGATATTGCATTTAATTTTTGAAGATCAAAGTTGACTGGAAAGCAAGAAACTGGAAGAGTTCCACAAGTGAGAAATGTAAGAAAAGAAACATCTATCAATTTCAATTACAACTACAAATTATCATTTAAATTTATAAAGTTGAAGTACCAAAGAGGAAAGCTCATCACAACAATTGCCATGAAAATATTTAAAGATGGCACAGAGAAGCTATGTTATAATGATGGGAAAACTGTCTGAAGTCAAGATGCTAGGTCAGGACCAATAACATTGCAGAATCTTCTTTAGATTTTATCCTTAAATCCATAGAAGCACCAGACCAAATGTAGTAACAATATTCAATGCATGGATGTATGGTAGACTTATAAATAAATGTATAAGATATATTCTGCCAACAAAAACTGTCTGACACAGTTGACCAACTTAATTAGCAGTAGAGCTCAATTCAGTATAATTATTTGATTTCTGATCCTAGCTAGGCAGAAGTAGCAATGGATATTCCGCTAGTAAAATAACGATGCTAAAAGATTAGTAATAAAATAATAATCAAAAAGATGTGTGCTTAAATTCATTTTTTTTTCTTTTTTCTTTTTCTCTAGGATTCATCAAATGTGAATTAAAGAAAAAAATACAAGAATTCACAGGAAAGAGTTACAGAAAATTTTCTAAAATGGAAAACATCATTGTAAAACCTGGCAACTCATTTCGTAAGCGAATTTTCTCCTATGCCCTTACTTCATTTGCATTCAGCTTCATGAATTCTGTTTTCACATTTTACTATGTGAAGATTTTTCTGAATGTTTACCGGATTCAAGAGAATTGGTTCCACATTTCTCAGGTCATCTTCATGGTGTGGAATGCAATCAATGATCCAATGTTTGCATATATTCAAGACAAATCGCAATACAAGTTTGTACGAACTCGTCGTGAAAGCATTTTATACGCAGCTCCATTCTTTTCTCTTTCTTTTCTCATCCCTTGGTTTCCATGGGCTTCTTCTTCTTGGATTACTGGTATTCACTTAATCATTTCATTGTGCTTATATGATGCCATGTTCACTTTCATAGGACTTGCCCATTGTTGTCTCAACACTGAAATGTCTCATGAGCAAAAGGAACGTCTTCAACTCATTCAATTTGCTGAGCTTGCCTGTCTTTTTGGATCATCATCAGTATTTATTTGTGAGTTTTTCACCAACAGTCTCCAGAATTTTTTCATGTTCCAACTGATATGTGTTTTTATTGCTTGTGTAAGTTGTCTGTGTATGCGCTATACTGGAAAAAATGCTCACACACAGTATGATAAACTCAACCAGGAAGAATATAGTTGTTGTAGTAACAAAGGAATGAAAGACTCTATGCTGACAGTGTTGTGCCAGTTGTTCTCAAGCCGAAACTTCATCAGTTTTGTTCTTATGAACTTTTGTCAAGTTTTTCACAGGACCTTTATTTCAAACTTTGCTGCCATCATCCTTGACCAATTGATCCCTGCTTCAGCCATATCTACATTTACACGTAGTGTTTTTTATGGAGCCATTAATATTCTGCCACAAGTAAGATTAGAATTTTTTAAATATATTTTTTGGTCTATTTTTTAAAATTTATTTTGTTGTAATTGTTAATAAATGCTGTACAGTTAAGTATAATACCTTTTTACTTCAGCCTTCTCATTATTTTATATAATACACACACACATTCTCACATTACTGTCTACTTTTAATTCTTTCTAATTTTTAGAATGGATTTATGGAAATATTTGCACTTCCTGTCGAGTTACATTCACTTACATGCAAATACACTTGGGAGAGGTATGAATCTATGTCTTCAAAGCTATAGATAAATAGCAGGACAGACTGTGTCCTGTAACCTTGGGTGACAACCAGTCTAGAAGAAGGACAACTCTGAATTTAAACTTAAGGATGGTTGTTTGGGCATCTTGTGACACACTGTGCACCAGTTCTTTGTATTTGACTCTTCCAAAAAGTGTGGTTGGTTCTGCACAAGGCTTCTTGACTATAATCAAATCATGTGTGGATAGTCTGACTGTTCAGATGGAGATGTTAGAGCTTCATATATCCAAAACAATGAAAGAGTTTAGTATTTCACATATGTATAAATCATGCTATGCTATACATCACTCTTACAATGTGACAAATGTTTTATGAATTTAACTAAATTTTCTGAGTTTCATAATATTAGCCATATTTCTGAAACTACAAGAAACATTGTAATTATTATTACAAAACATGGACAAAGATTACAAAGACAAATATTTTGAATAAAGAATAATAAATTGTCTCATTGTAATTAGGACAACATTAATATGAAATGTATGTATCATATTCTGAAACTAGTTTTAAAATTCATTCCTCTACTGTTTTTGTGAGCTGTTGTATTGTTTCATATGAAACTGCCTGCACAGCATCCAAAATAGCATTACAAAGTTCATATACTAATAATGACTAATAATGATTAATAATACATAAAAGTTCATATACTAATAATGATTAATATCAAAATAGCATAACAAACTAATAATGATTAACAAATACTAATAATCAAAATATCAAAATTACATTAAAGTTCATATAAACTAATAATGATAATGACAAAGTTCATAATAATGATTAATAATATCAAAATAGCATTACAAAGTTCATATACTAATAATGACTAATAATGATTAATAATATCAAAATAGCATTACAAAGTTCATATACTAATAATGACTAATAATGATTAATAATATCAAAATAGCATTACAAAGTTCATCTAAGCTGTTAAAATGCTCTCCACCAACGTCAACCTTCTCTTTCAGAATGCTCCACATTTTCAATCAAGTTAACTTTGGGTGAACAAGTCATCAAATGAGTGTCTTTGAAACTTGTTCAGATTTATTTCTTCACCAAATGTGATAGAACATTGTCCTGTACAACAATAATCTCAATGACGGCGTTTGGCTTCTTCTTCTTGAACCATGGCTTTATATTTGCCTTAAAAAAAAAATCACCCAAACTGTCATCTTAACACCATCTGGAACTTGCCACAGACTCACCTCTTCACCACCTATAATCCTACCCCAAAACATCACATATATCTCTTCCTAGTTAACATATCAGTCTATGAAGGTGATTTCTACTAGTAGCCACCCGGTTTGTTCTTGCTCCATTCAACTTGTAGCATTCATTGGTGAAAAGAACAGTTGAAAAATCAGTCTTCATTTATTCTTTTGTTCATTTTAAAGAAGGCCTAATGATCAGTTTAACATGTTTTTAACATAGATATCTTGTGCTTTTTTTTTTTTTTAATACTTTATTAACACTGCTTTAGGGTTATCAAGGATCTCCAACATGCTAATCATTTTTTGCTATTTCGAGTGGTTTTACTCTTATTAAAGACTTCTCTATATTCATCAAATCATCCTTATTTCAATGTTTCAAACTTGCAACATAGGCATTAAGTTGAGACTTTGAAAGATAGGTGCAGATTGATGCTGCCATCATTCAGCAATTAAACATTTAGATTTTAGTCTCTATTTTATGTATTAATAAAACATGAAGTGGCTAATGTAAGATTCTGTCTAAAATTATATAATATGCAAATTAAGAAAATGTTCAAATAAAAAACAGTGAATGGAAAGAAATATGAACTTGTTATAGAAATCTTAATTCTACAATTTTTTTATGTCTATTTTGATGCATTAATAATTAAGAAAAAATGAACTGAAAGGAGTATAAAAAAAATGTTATTTTCTTGTATTTATATTAATTTATGCAATTTTGTTTTTAAAAAGCTGTATTTTTCTTCTTTGGTTGAATATTAGTAAAAATGATATTTGTGCTTGAATTTTTGCCATCTTTGTAATCTTTTCCATTTTTTTATACTAATTTTTATGCTTAGTTGATTTTTTTTATAAATTTGCTAGCAAAATTTATTAAAGAAAATTTGGTTCTATTTTTATTATAGAATTATATTTCGTCATATTCAGTTTTAAGAAAATGAGCTGCTTCTTTTGAAAAAAAAATGAACTTTTAAGTTTAATATTTACAAAAAAAATCTAATTTCACTAATTATTTTGTTGAATTGAGAAAGTCTTTTACATAATCACTTAGTAATTTCTTAGCTATTAGTCTTAGAGATCATTGGTACCAACTTGCTTTGCAGAATTTATTGTAAATATTCTGTTTGCATGAGTTGATATTAATACCTTTTTCTCTGAATAATACAGACTTTAATAGCAGAAAATTTAACTTAACTGAAGGAAATGTTTTGTATTTGATATAGATGACTGTTTGATTTATTATTAATGTTACAGATCCAAAAAACTCCTACCTTTTTGTAAGTTTTTGATGTTTTACCCAGATCATTTTTTCTCCACTTATGATTTTAATGCTATTTTATTAAGTTACAATTTTTATCAAAATGGAAGCAAAGAAACTGCACATTTGACAGTTGAATAGTTATAAATGAATAAATAACAAAGATAACAGGTCTTTATAAAGTGTGTTTTTTTAAATAAAGGATCATTGGCAAACATGGATAAATGTACTTGCAATAAAATTGATTATCAACAGGAGGGGTTTTCCCATGACAGCTTTTTTTAGCTACCCTTACTCTCTGGTAATGTTTATTATTTAAAAAAAAAAAAAGCTATGATTAGAGTTGTAATAAAACCTAAATATATGAAAGTGAATTTATACATTTTTTTTTTGTTCTTGAGAAGTGACAACAAAAATAATAAACACTATTAGATTGTCCTTTTCACAGTCTGTCTTATTGTGGGCATGTTTATACATGTTTGCCAAATCATTAAAATCTCAAGGTTTCTTATAATTTTTTACAAATGAAATATCATAATTGATATAAAGGGGAAAAAAAAAAAAAAAAAAACACATATTAGAGGACCTGCCTGGAAAGTAATAGGATTTATGCTCAAAAAATATTTCTGTGTGTGTGGAGAGGTATTTGTATTAAAATAGATACTAAAATCTATTTTAATACAAATACCTCTCCACACACACAGAAATATTTTATACTCATCAATATTTGATGAGTATATGTAAGCAAAGTGGGGGGGGAATCCATAAATATTGAATGTCACACTTTGCTGTCAAAAATAATGGCATATTTTGTTAAGTCCTCACTTTTGTTAAATTTTCACATGCAAGTCTCTTAAATTATCATTTGTGGTATTTTGTTTTTTCATGAAGATAATGATTTCAACTCCTGTCTTTGTAAACATCTTTAAACACTTTGTCACAATTTTATTGTAAAAAACACTGCCACATGGCTAGTTATTTTCCTTCTATTGGTGACATTTGGTGAAAAATATACAAATAAATTTGACATGTTTACTAACCTATGTTGTGTTGTTAAAACTTAATACAATGTGCACAAAACTCCAAGAGGTTGTTCTCTCTCTCTCTGGTGAATGGGCTAGAATCATTAGATGGCACCTGATGTGTTCCCAAAAGAGAAAGTGCAATTATTTTCTTTTTTTTTTTTTTTTTTGTCCCTATTCATATATGTGGACTCTTTAAACTCGACATTGTGTCATATTTCTTTAAGTAAGCATATGGTGAAATGCTTACACTTGGCATATTGTTCATATATGTGCATATATGAGGTTTGGTAAAGAAAGAAATGACAAAATGCTGATTTGGGCTCAGTGTTTTATATTCACAAATAAGATAACATAAATCACTATTTTTCAAATCTGTATGAGACTTCTTTCAAATCAATGTTGTTGACTAAAGAAAAAGAGTGAATAACAAATCCTTTTCAGATCTTTGTACAATCTGTTTCCTGGTGACATGTGCTAATTGTAACAGATTTTTGTTTTTCCTAAACAAATGACATTTGTCTATTGATATTTTGAATTTGCCAAGAATATTACAGGTATGTGTACATGGTAAAAAAAAAACAAAAGAATTCCATGTTGTGAAAAAATAATTCCATGTTTGTTTTTTGTATGTTTTTAATATTTAATTTTTTAAAAATTTTATTTGTAGATTGCTACAAATAAAAAAAATAAAAAAAAATTAAATACTAAAAAAAATGGAATTGTTTTGAAAATTGATCCATTTTAAGTTTGGCTATTTAATATTAATCCATCAATCCAAGGATTTTCTTCCTCTTTTCTCTGGTTTATTATTATTTTTTTCATAAATTTATTTTACAAACATTTTTTTTTTCATAAGATTTGTGTAATAATATAGCTAAAATGTTATTTCTGTACCTTAATTAGGTTTTTCAAGATTTGATGATATAAATATCAGATTATCACAAGCAAATTAGAAATCACAAAATTAGTTTTAAGATATAAATGGATAATAACTGGAAAAATAGGAAAGTATAAATTATATAGAAATTACATTTTTTTTTTCATATATATTATGGAAAAAAATATCACAAATTGGAAATAGTTTTTGTATGATATGTTTCATTCTTTAGAAATCCATTGGACCAAAGCAGATTATTCCCAACCTTTTTTGATTCATGACCCACTTTCACATGAAAAAATTTTCACTGCCTACCTGTATAGTAAATATTCAAAAGCATACCAAAGTTTGTTACTCCTTTATAAACTGACTATGATCTGGTAAAAAATACCAAAGGGTGGTAACAAATTACACTGACTTAAGCCACAATGGCAGCTGCTACTACCATATTAAAGAGCAATGTTTACTACAGTGATATTTGTCTTATACGAAATGTAACTCAGTTATTCCCATTCAACTTCCTGTTTTTTGTTTTAGATTCTTTGCATATGTCCTTTGAATAAAATATATATATATGGCTATTTTTTGTTTATACATTATTTTGATAGATACCATTTATTTAAAATAAATGCATGCTCTATTTTTTAATTGAACAGTATTACATTTACCAGCCTGAATGTTTAATAAATTTTATAGAAAATATCTGTACTCCAACAGGAATCAAACCTGTTTCCTACACAGAGCAGTCATTTGATCTGATGTGCTATACCACTTAGCTATAGAGAAGCATCTGGTTAGCAAAGTCAGAATTTTCTACATAATTTTCTACAAAAGTTCTCAAACATTCAGGCCTGTAAATGTAATTAATACTGTTTAATTGAAAAACAGAACATTTACTTAAATAAATTGGATCTAAAATTATGTATAAACAGAAAATATATTCTGTAGTGTATGTATGAATTTATTTATTTTAGTATATATTGAAATATCTTTATTACTCGAAATCTTATATCAGCCACAAAAATCTCCAGTCAGCCACCATTTTTCAGGTTAGGAAAACCTGGACTACATCGAATTTTTTTATTTATTTATTTATTTTTTCACCCCTATTGTTCTTGATATATAAAAATTTATATATTGTTTTTCCATACAAATACCTACAAATACAAGAAAAAAAAAAACTTCATAAACAAATTTAAACCAGCACTAAATAGATCATATAATGGCCAAGTACAGAGGTCAAACCACTTATTACCCTTTAAGCAGAAGAACTTTCTTGCCAACAGTCCAAGAAAGGCATTTGTCACTTGTGTCACTACTACCCCAAAAAAAGAATGTTTAATATCAAAAACCATAAGGAAAATTAATTCATTTTAATATGTGGAAATATCCACTCTTTGCCTGAAGAAGGTTGCGAGACTAGAAACGCAAGTAGCAAAATTATAGAAAATAAAATATATATTTTTTAAAAATCCACATTACAACAAAAAACGTTTGCAGTTTCTCTCTTCTTTTTTATATATATATATATATATATATATATATATATATATATATATATATATCTCAAGGAGATCCAATAACTAACAATTATATTGGTACATACAAAAGTAGAGCAGAATAAATTCCAATAACTAATTACTATTCTTAAATTTTGAGTGCTGAATACAAATAAGACACTGGTGTGTTAAAACAAAATGGATTTTGTAGTTATTTTATAGCATAGTTTTTTGTTTTTTGTTTTAATATAATTATAAAAAAAAAAAATTTATAATATATATATATATATATAATCACTATTTTTATAAAAAATTTATAACATTATGTTTTCACTACAAAAACCCCTATTTTGTTTCAACACACTCTGTGTCTTTATGGTGTTGAAAAGAAAATAAATGTTGAATGCAACATCATTACTTGATAATCAAAAACACTTCAAAAAGCTTGAAACAAAATGGCTATTATAGTATTTGATCTTTAAATACGTTAATATTAAAAATAATTTTTTTTTAATTATAAATTTATATATATATATATAAATATATATTAATATATATATATATATATATATATATAAATATATATATATATATATAAAATTTGAATTGATTTATACTTTCGATATTAAAGAGAAACACAATAATACAGTGGAAATTCAGAATTTAGGGATTTTATACTAATAGCAAGTAATGATTTTATTTTTTATTTATTTTTTATTTTTTCGCTTTTCTTAGAACTTCGATATGTTGACATTTTATTCAATTTTCGGCAGACTTTATCTAAGGGATGTAACTCTTTTCGTTTCAATACTAATAATTCATTTTATCGTTTACTATGAATTAAACTGTTGTCAGGAGAAACTTTTCAATACATTTAAAGATTTTTACTTTTTTTTTCTCTAAATTTTTAAATTTACTGAATATTGTTTCTATTTTAGATACTTGTCATTATTGGTGCTCCGCTGGTAGCTCACATTGGATACTATTATGTGATTCTTGGAAATATTTTTTGTAAAATTATTTTTGGTGTGATAATATTTATTGTTGGTCCATCACATCCTTGGATCTTCATGGCTATACTGCTGTTAGAAAGGTGAGTGGTTTTTTTTTTCACCAATTTTTTTATAAGTCTACCTCTTATTATATTAATAGCATATATTAACTGATTTTTTTATTGTCTCCTACATTTGCAGTCGTTCCATTTGCTTTTGAAATCTGCAACATAATTATAAACAATGTATTAATACATACAATCTTTACTTCTCATAATGTCTGCACTGAATTCAACCTAATCATAATTTTGTATATATTTCTCAAGTTTGGATTGACTGAAGGAATGGAAGGTAGGAAAATGAAAAGTGTGGCAAGATTTGCCTTTCATATTTTTACTTTGCTTGTAAAATTTTTAACTTCTAATATTTTGTTGTGTGGAAATGAAATATCAAAGCATAAATAATACACATATATTAGAAATCCATATGTAGACATTGTCATTGTATTGATGAAAATATTTAATTCACTTCATGTAATCTTCATCTAAATTCGAAGTCCATTTTCTTACATAATCAAGAAATACACTAAACAACAAATAATTCTCTATTATTTTCCTAGATTCAATTATTTGGCAAAACTTCTTTTATTTTCATTTACTTATCACTATGTTGATGTTGCTCTTAATTTTTCATGTTTTTAATACTGTTTTCTGTTTAACAACCATGTCACTTTGAAACACCAGTCCTTGTGTGATCACTGAAATTAAGCAACATCAAGTCTGGTCAGTACCTAGATGGGTGACCGCTTGGGAATACCAGGTGCTGTAAGCTTGGGTGTGCAGGTGGTGTAATGTATAATGGCATGGAATTTGTAATGGGAGAGCCAAGTTCAAATTCTAGTCAAGTCCATTATATTCACTTACGTGCAAATGCCCTTGGGAAAGGTATGAATCCACCTCTCCTCCCTAAAGCTATGGGTTAATTAGTAGAACTTGTAGCAGTAAATTATTATTTCAAAAAAGTTTTACAATCTAAAATATTTTCTGGCTTTATATAACCTGTAAAAGGCCATAAAAACAAATTAATCAATAATACTGTTTTCTAATAAAATTCTGGTCTGAATGCATTTTCTTATTGTTTGTAAAGCTATGATAAATTGTTGCTTTAAATTATTCATCCATTAGCAGAAGATAAAATTTCAACACTCTGAATATGTACTTCAATTAACACAAGATTAAAAATATAGGTAATATAGCTTGATTACACTAAATGATCACCTATTCAGATCAGTATGTGCATGTTTCGCCTCTTTGTGTGGCAACAACACTCAGGCCCTTTATTAAATACATTGTATATCCTTCTTGTGCATTAACATGTGTGTATTCTTACATGCATACAATTGTATATATGGCAGTGATTCCCAAACTTTTTTTCTCTGGGCCACATTTTCAGAATGAAAATTTGCTTGCACCTCACCAAATGGAAATCCCAGTGAAGAGGTGCAAGCAGCCCTATGGCAAAGAAAGTCCAGAGACAGGGTTAAAGGGAGATAACTGCAGATTCGAACTCAGAACATTATCATTATCATTGATAATTCTCTCCTCCAGCTTGCATAGCCTAGTTACTATATTATTAGTATTTCATATAAAGCAAAAATATCACAATGATAAAATTGATCAATATTTATAACTATACTGGGACTCCTTCATACAATTACAAGTAATCCATAATATTTTGAATTTTGGAATCCTATTTATTTTTGGTATATGAATTGTTTTTTAAACTGTTTCTAAATGTTTGATTGTCTTTTGATCATTCCACCTCAGCTGCCATCCTCTATCACTGCACATTTTAGGTGTGCTGAACTGTTTGGGAACCATAATATATGGTGAATACTGTCCTGGGATACATTACTTTATACCTCTATTGATACAAGAGTATTAAACAGGCTAACTGATAAACTCAAACATTCGATTGAAGACAGATCTGTTGATTTTGCTAGCCAGGCAAATTACTTAACATCTTGCAGAGCATGTTGAGTAGCACAGGCATTATGTAGGCAGGCATTATCCTGCTGTAAGTTGTAAGTCTTGGCCCCTCACACCAGTGGCTAAGCCTGTCAGCAGTAAATACACCCAGGAATATATCACTTTCCAAGTGCATGTCACTTTCATGAAGCAAGAACCACCTGTTGCGGTGAAGTCATTTGTACGTTGAAGTTTTATTTTGTTTGTATTTAAGCCAAAGAATGGAGGTCATATTGGTTGTAAATAGGTTTGATTTACTTGAGAAAAGTGATAAAGTTGATGGTAGTAGCTAGCAAATTTGAACTTTTGTGCCTGCAAGAAAATTAAATGTCAAAAGGAAACTTTTTTTTTTTTTTAGACACTGCTGTTATTTTAATTACCTTCACCCATTGGCAATATTTATTGTTTTTAAAAAGTGATGATTAAAATTGTAATAAAATCTAAACATATGAAAGTGAATTTATACATTTTCTTTGTTGTTGAGAATTAACAAAAATAATAGACACTATTAGAGTGTTCATTTATACTATCTATTTATTAGATTGTTTATTAGAATGGTTGGCAAAAACATCAGCTAATTGCCAATCAATTCAAAATTTATAAAATGGTAAACAAGGGTTTTCTTTAGTTGGTTCACATATTTAGTGAATGTTTATAAATTTATGAATAAAAAATTGTTTTCATATATATTTCTTTATAAACTGGTTAATTATATTAATTTTTAAAATGTAAATATAAGATTATTCTTGTAAATAAACAATCTAATAGTGTTTAATATTTTTGTTGTAAATTCTCAAGAATATATAAATTCACTTTCGTCATATTTCTGGGTTTTATTACAATTCTGATCAGCAAATTTTAAAACAATAAATATTGCTAAGGAGTGAAGGAATGGAAAAACTGTCCTTTTGACACTGTTTTTTTTTTTTTTTTTCTTGCAGCTATGAAGGTCCAAAGTTTTATAAGTGCATGACAAGTACATTAGCAGACATGAATTTGTAGAGTAAAATGTTAGATTGAGTCATAAATTTTCATTTTTGGAAACCAATTCTTATGATGAATGTACATCTTAACTACTAATCATATGTGACAGTTAAGAATAAATTTGGAATACACTAGCATAACTTAGTTTTTACACAATAGTGGCAACATAAATTTCTTAACCCTCACCATTAATGGAGAGTTTGAAAGTGCATTTACATCACTTAATGTTATGGGAGTTCAAATAAGAGAATAACACAATGGAGAAATCTAGAAAAATATGTAGTGTTTATAGTCGAGAAGTTATAACTAATCGGCAAGTACAAAATTAACTTTTGTTTTTTTCTGGAGAAATGTCAGTGGAAGATGAATCCAGAGTGAGGAGTTCATCAGACTTTAATGATGAAGCTCTAAAGTCATTACTAGAAGGCAGTCCATGGCAAAGTAATCTGGAATTAGCGAAAATGTTAAATGCATCACAATCTACTCTTCTGCCAATGCTTAGAAAAGGTAAGCAAAGTCAGTAAGCTGGGTGTTCAAGTTCCACACACTCTTAGCAAAAGCAACAAAGCAGATCGTTTATCCATAGCAACAACTTTCTTTTCATAACAGAGAAATAACCTGCTCCTTAAATATAACAGAACAGGTAATGAAAAATGGGTTACATACAACAATGTTCAATACAAAAGGCAGTTGAGTGACAGGGGTAAATCTTCACAACTGACCCCTAATGCTGGGCTCCATGTAAGAAAGTTAATATTGTGCATGTGGTGTGATCATTGGGGTATTTAATTTATAGGAATTAAATTCAATATATATATTTTCAACTAATAAAATCCTATCAGAAGGTTTGTTTAATAGACAATCATCACAAGGGCAAATGCTGCCAAAATGCTTGCAGGTATAGTTGTAGTCCTACCATGTGTTATTTTGGGATCATTAGGGCCCCCTGATTTTCCATTTCAAATTTGCCTTGATTGTTTCCACTTTTGGGAAATTTCATTTTTTTCCATTTTTATAGTATTTTATGAGAAAATTGCAATACAATATAATTATTATTAAAACTAAAAGCAAAAATATAATTCAGTTTTATTGCATATCTACAAAATATCTATGAAATCTTTAATGTTAAAGTCCAAAAATAAAAAATGTAACCTGGCTAGATAATAAAACGATGGAATGTTGCAGTACATAATTATCTTTGAGGTTGAACTTTTAATCAGCTTCCTTTTTTAAGAATGCATTCAAATTGTTTTTGCTTTTTTAAGTAAAAGTATTTAGATTGATTTGTAATTATTGATTCATAATATAAAAATCAAATTTAAAGTATCAACACTTGAATCTCAATAATAAATATCTGAATAAAGTCAAACATTTTGACTAAAATTTTACAAAACACTAATTAAAGCATAATAACTGAATCTTTGTAACAAAATGTCAAAAAACAAATTAGACATATTAATTAAAAAATTAGATAAAACAACTTATCCCATGTCAAAATAATGCTCAAATTTAAAATGCTAATTTCTTAATTTGGTAAATATCTAATCTTCAAATCTCTTCTCTAAATCTCCATTATAATACAAATTGTGTGTTAGTTGGTGTTCTCAGGGGTGAGACTTTCATATTGTTTATTGAGTAAATTTTTATTGAGAAAAATGAATGTTCAGCATCTATGCTGGTGACAGGCATCCATAGACCTTATTGGCAATCTGTTCCAGAAGGGGAAATCTGCTCTTATTTGCATTCCAAAATGATGGGATATTCAAAGGATTTGGTAAATCATCTTGGTAATTCACATACATTTGGAATTTTTCAAGATCAGTAGAAAGGCATTCAAGTCCTTGATGGCTATAAAACTGAAAGTTATCCACAAGGTGGGTATCCATGTATTTATTCAGTTTCGAAAAAGATGTGCTGAAAAAAATCTTGGAATTTGAGATAACTCTCTCCCTGTCTGTGTTTTCTTGTTCAGACAGAAGACAATCAGTTTCTAGGCCAAATGTTGATTTTGATGTACCAGTATACAAATACTGTTTTACATCCTCCATCATGATATGTACAACATATGCAAGCCGAGACTTAGTTTCTTCTAAGTTTGTCAAAGCTGTTATTAAACGAGTGCAGTTCTCATTTATAAAATTCTGATTTAGGTGCAAATTATGGTAAGAGGCATGATGTAGTCAACCATCATCTACTAATTTTAGAATCCTATCTACTGCAAGGCCATGGCTCTTTTCTTGCTTATGAGTGATATTTGGTTGCATTAAACCAGGAATTCCATCTGGTTGCCACTGGTACAGGGAGTAGTTTCACTTGTTTCTTAGGCAAGGAACCTTCAAGCCATTTTAAGTATCGTTTTTTTCCAACTCGGCTTTTTTAAAAAAAAAAGGCTGACTTGATGAAAGTGTGAAAATACTTTGACAAGATTTAAAATATATGCTAAGCACAATACATTGCAACTGTGAAGAAAAACAATTTGTCGACACTTCCTTATGAGCCTTTTTTGCAATGGGCTACAGAAACTATTAGAAAGGCAATAATATTCTCAAATGCAATATCCACATGAGTTACAGCTTGGATGCATGCCTGACTTACAGTTTAATGATTGCATTCTCACAAGGTTACAACATCAATGAGAAATGACTTCCCATGAATGCTTGCAATTGCATTCAAAATGTGGTGGTCATGACAGTTGTTTTGTCTGTTATGATGCTGACTTGTTTATTAGCAAGCTTTGCTTTCAGGGCAGCAAAGTGACAAGCAAACAATTAGTTGCCTAACACAATTGATACTTGGAATAGTACTACCTTCTTTACAACGTTTTAATATGAATTGTTTCATTTTGTCAATTTTGTGTAGGGGAATGTCAGACAAAGTGCACATTTTCAAAAAAAATCAAAGACAAAATCATCTTGTACGTCTTTACTCTTCAACAAAGTTTCACGTGATTGTCTTATATTTCATTTGAGCCGACTTTTTTTGTCAAATGAATTTTTGATTTGATGTGTTCTTTGATTGTGTCGATCCTAAAAATGTCAACAATATGGAGACAGAATTTGCAAAATAACATATTTTCTTCTGCATAAAAGTCATCAGGAAATTACTCTACTCTGGCTTTACCACAAATTTTAGATCCTCAAATTTAAAGGTTGATTCACTCTAATGACTTGATTCAGTCATCTTGGCAATTCATATAAATGGTTTAGATTACAAAATATGAATAAAATATGAAAACATTATCATCAATGATTATTTAATGTTATTAAAAGATTTTTTTGTTCAATTTAAATTTGTTTACAATGGTGAAGCACTGAAAACGCTGCAATTATTAATCCGAGAGAATTGCTGTGTGATGGTAAGCTTAAACAAGCCAGTCATTTCATAGAATGGTGTTTTTTGGAAAATTGTTTTTTTTTATTTCTAAATTATATGGTAGGCACATGATAGCATTTAAAGGAAATGAATTTGTTAAGCTTAATGGTTTGATCTTCATCTCCCAACTCTTTCATATAAGACTAATGATTCCACGATTCCATCCATGCAGAAAATTTATTTTCCAAGATCATTTAGAAAATAACTATAATAACTCTTCACCACTTCCACAAATCTGAGAAAAAGATTTTTGTGAGCCAATCTGAAATTATTTTCTAACCAATGGAAACCTTTGTATTCAAAAAGTTCACACCTGTATGTGAAATTAGATTTTGAACCCGCTTATGGATATAAAAATAGAAGCATACTTCTTCTCAAAGCTAAAAACAACTTTGGAGGTCAGCTTGATCTGTATATATATATATATATATATATATATAAACACACACAAAGTGGAAGAGATGGCAGCCTTTGACTATGGCCTTGTCTACAAACTCACAAACACATTAGGATGATCATCATAAAGTGAGTCTGTCCACACATCTCACATGACACTATGAACACTTAATTACTTTATAAAACAAATTAATTGCAAGGAAAATTGAACATTGTTATTGTATATCTCTGAAAAGAATGTTATTTCAACTGACGTTCAGCTTCTACTTTTTCTCGAGAAAATAACCTTTTTTTATGTTTCATTTAAAAGATGTGTTGTTGTTAAATGTTTGGAATCACAAATCAAATAGTAACAAAAACCTGGGTAGACAGATCCCAACAAGTCCTTAAAATGCAATGAGACACTGAATGATCATTTATGTCTAACAACTCCAATGTGTCCATAAAATTTGGGCAAAAAGTGCCTTGTGATTGTCAACAGGAAAAAATGTTTTCTATGACAAAGAAATGTTGTATGTAGCAATAACGCAAAAAAAAAAATGTTGGGACTCTACTGGTCTGTTCTATTCCACCTAACCTTGTACCAGCTGATTATTACTTTTATTTAATTGCTGCAAACATTTTAATGAGGAAAACTTTCTCTAATGAAAACCAGAATTAAGAATTCCCATCAAAACCTGCAATGTTTTACTAAAAAACTATAAAAGAGCTAAAGCTGGATATGTGGCATCAAGTCATTGCATATAATGATGAATATATAATTGAATAAAATGTAATTGTACTTAATTTTTTAAAGAATAAAGTTGATAAAAAAAAAATGGAAATTATTTGACTTATCCTATTAAGTGTTTTACATACGTCATTCACCACATTGTTTTGAGTGATGACAATTTGTTGAAATGTGCAGGGATTATGTATTTTTTCTTCTTATATCATTAGGTGACTTAGTGTATAAATGTCCTGTGGTCATTTTTGATTAGGTTTTACTTGATTGGTTAGGGGTCAGTTGTAATGTACAACAAGAGTGTGTTGAGGTTGGGGGAAAACATCCAATCAATTGCTCTCACAGCAACTACAGGGGTAATAGGTAGAGTGCGAAAACGGACGGGGGGTAACAAAAATACCACTGCCTTGGAAAGCATAGTAACTTAGGAACAAAATGCCCATGGGACTGACATTATAAGACACCATGTCTTCCCAACTGTTATTGGCATGAGGCATCTTATAAAGACCCTGATCTTGACCAGTTGCAGAGAGGGCTGTATCTATTAGCCAGTCAGAAGATAGGTCAAACTAAAATTTCTGGTGGAAAATAATTTGTAACAATTGAATTTTTGAGCATTGAATTGTTAAAATCTGAATTTGTCACCTCTCCCCATTGGTTATAGGCTGTGGTTCAGGGAGTAGGTGTGTTTGAAGAAATAGAATGATATTAGAAGATTGGAGTCTGGGCAAGACTGCAGTTCCTTAGGTTCAATCACTTATCAATCTAATCTATGTAGACATTGCATTTCCACTTACAAATTTTTATTCATTATCAATTTTTTATGATTTTGTAATTTTATTGTAATAAATTTCCCTATCCACATTTCAGTTTTTAAAGTCACTATCACCCATGACGATTTTGGCTTGTGGACTGACCAATTCAGTTTGATGGGGTTTCAACCAAGACCTCCATTCCTTTATCTGACCATGACATATTTGTGTTTCTGATTAGTCCATCAAACTTCTTTTCTGTAAATCTTTTAACACATGGGTGCAGAAAGTGTTGTGTGAGACTTTAGAAGTAGTCAATAATGAAGTAAGAACCTGTTGAAAGTGCTGACTACACATCCCCCCCCCAACAAAAAAGATTGCTACATTGTTCTCATCTCCCAGCTAATCTTCTTATAATCCTGCTGTAAATATACATGATGCTGTTGGAGCATAAATGGAAATCTTGTTCAAGTTAAAGACAACTGCTTTTAATTCTACTACAAATAAACATTTTCTCTGATCTGTGGTTACCGTGTTATCTGGCATTGTTGTCCTTGCAATGTGTTGATCTTCATTAACATCTGTAGTAGAACCTGGCTTATCATTTGACCAGTTGTCAACATCAAAGCAACACTGGCATATACAAGATGTGTAGAAATTCTTCAAACTGACCATCCAGTCTCATGAAGATACACAATCCAACCCATCTCAAATTAAACAAGAACAACTAGACTCTTTCACTACACTTACTTTATTGCAGTGTCTATAGCTCTGATGCAGACGGTATACTGGTATGAGTGTTACTATGTCAAAAGATATATAGGTCTGTATCCCAGTAAAAATTGGTTCCACTATTCTGGTTATTGCAATTTTATTTTCCATCTGTGTAGATTGTCTTCATGGTTAAATGAATGTAAGTACATACGTATGTCCTGACTGGGAAGATTAATCTCACAGGCAGGCTATTTTATTGGCATTTTCATATTAAATATATAGAGATGTTTATGTTTAAAAACAGAAACATTCAATTGCAGCTTACTGTATAATTCAGATTGTTGGCTGTTTTGATTTGGACTTAATTAAAAATACAAGCTTTAAAAAAGAAAATTTGAATTTTATGTATTTTTTTTCTTCAGTTGATATCAAATCAATTTATAAAAAAAAAAAATTTCATTTCTTTGTAGCACATACACATTTGCAGCATCCTCTCTATTTAACATGCCACTTTCTGATATTGCTGATGAAAATGCCCTGAAATATAACCGTCAGTAAGTAAATTGATGCAAGACTTTTTCTTCTTCACATTGTTTAAATACTACTGTAATTCTAGGTACTTTTTATTGACAATATTTTTGCACTAATTGGTTTACTGTGATCTTGATTATAGTTTAATGTAAAGATTTAAGGTGTAAAGTATTCTAGGTAGATATTACAATTATTCAATTTCTATTTGATTTTATAAGAACATGATAATTTCTTTTATTGTTAATCATTAATGTTCACATTTAAATATTGAATTAAAGATTTTTTGTCCAAAACAAGAAATTATTAACAAATTTTGCAAAATGTCATTTAAAACTTTGTCAAATTTTATTAATTGCATCATTTAACTGAGATATTTAAGGATAATTTACTTTAAAAAAATAACATTTATTTTAAAAAATGCATTTTTAATTTGGAAGGAAATATTTTTGGAGATCAGTTATATTACATTTATATAAATTTTCAAAATGATTCTGAATATTTTTAATTTTTTTTTTTTTTTTTTTTTTTTCTAGGCAACCAATTTCTTCGATGATATATGGTACTAATGCATTGGTTGTGAAACCTGCTATCTCACTGTCACCAATGTTGGTTGTGAGTGTACTTAATGCTTATGGTTATCATGATCTCAAAGACAATAAATTGTCTGATATTCAAACCATAGCACTGAAAAACTCTATGTTTAACTTTTTGTATATGACCCCAATTTTACTGGGTTGTCTACAACTTGTAATTTGGATGTTTTATTCATTAAGGCACACACACAAGTCTCCTCTCAACCAGTAACTAATATAAATATTTACATTTTAACATGACATATACACACATACACATCTAGTTCCAAATTAGATGTATATAAAATGGGAACCACCAAAATAATTCATTTTGGAATCAACATTTTCACAATATAAAATGGTTTTTATATTCAAAAATATTGCTCAGTTGAGTTTAATGTCTAAAATCTACTCCTGTTTAAAATATATAAAAAAAAAACATGAGCTGAATAATTATAAATAAATTTCATTAATAATCATGTCTATTCATTTACAAATTCAAAAGTCTCTAAATATGGCATCTTCCATTTAAACCAAATAACAGTGAATATTTTTTTCTAGTTATGATCTTTTAAAGGAATTTTTAGGATTTTATTTCTTCTTAATTTGTATGTATGACTAATTTTTAAATAACTGTTTTTTGTTTTCACTCATTGAAATTAGCAACAATTGAAAAAGGCCTTGAACTGCTGTGTCTGTTTTATTAAATTCATGAATTCTCTAAATTATGCCACAATTAAAGACAGTATTTGGACTTCTAAAAGCTCTTAATTTTAATATAAATCAATATTTTTGTTTCTTGTTATTCAAAAATGTTAATATTTTGATTATCATAATTACAAATCTGTGCAATGATAATCCCAAAATACCGACATGTAATTTCTTTTTTGTCTTTTTTTTTTAACTCTGTTAAATTCTAAAAATGCTAATTTTAGTATACTTACTTCAATTACATAAACAAAATATTAATCTTTTAATGAAGTTATTTACATTGCTATTTCAGTGTTATTTATATTACATTGAAAAAATGGTTTGTTATGGTTTTGTAATCATAGAAAAATATATAAATCATTAAGACCAAAATAAAAATATATTATTACCAAAAACTGTTTGACTTGATATGGCCAAGAATCTCATTTTAAGTTTACTATGTACCAATCTGAAAGATGAGTACAACAAATAGTACTGTAGGTACGAATATTTAAAATCTTTATCTCTGATTCATTTTCAAGCGATTTCTGGAATAACTTATTTTGAAATTTACTGGGTTTATAAGCACAAACAATCTTGATATATATAAGTTATAATTATGGAGAACATTGATTAATTTAATAAAAAGAATTATCTTGCTATATTATTTAGTACCAAAATTACGATATGTATCCATGCATAAGTTGATCCCTAACATTTAAAAGTCTCAATTTAGGATTATCCCTATATAGACTTGAAATGTTTATATTGGTATAAAAATATATTTTGTAATTGTTTATAATGTTTTGATTAAATTAAAAATTGAATTTTAAGTTATAATAAATTCATACTTAAGTGATGGATGTTATTTATTTTTAATTATGCCCTTTAATGAAAGCTACAGTTTTGTTATATATTTCATTTATATGGTATATTTTTAAATTTGGTGTGATGGTTTTTCTAAAAATGGAGCATTTTTGTTAAATATTTTTCATTTTCTCTGGTGTTATTGGCAGCATTTTAGAATACTTTGGTTGCAATGTGAAGTTTCCTAAGTTGAACAAACGAGATATTTCGTTTATGCTTTGTTACCCCTCTTTTCCATTGTTTTTAGATTGCTTTCTTCCAATCATTTTGATGGGCAATAGTGAAATTCTGAAACTTAGAATGATCTTATTCCATTTCAAAAATAAAGCCTGTAAAAAAGAATATTTTAAATTAATATACAACCAAAAATAAAATGCTTTTGACAAAAAAACCTTAATGATTTCACTTTATGTAACAATACTGTAATGATATTCCTCAGACAAATCTAGTTTATACTACCTTATCTCATTGCATGGTTACAAACCATAAACCTAAATTGAGCTTGAAATATTGTGTAATCAGCTTTAATTTTTTGTAAAATACATGGATATGATATAATGAATAATTTGCAGTGAAAAAAGCAATTTTCTTTTTTTGTTGAATATGCCCCCTCTTCCAATGTATGTCATATACAGTTGATCTCTACTAACTAATCATTTTAATATTTTTCTTTCACTAATGAGATTCTCTAAGAAATTCCTTAGCAGGGAAGTTAGCTTGAATAATTTAAATCAATTATAAAAATATTAAAGACATTGCTATTTTAAAAGAAGCACTTTTACAAGATAACTACATCTGAATATTGATTACCATTTTTATTACTTTTATATTTTATTTGCTACTACTTTTTTTTACTAACATTAAATATTAGATGAGATATAATCAATTCAGGCTTTCACTGTTAGTTTATAATTTATGGTCATAACTTTTTACTACTAATATTATACATTTTTCAAAATCCTTATACAATGTTCTAATTTCAGTGGTTTAGACTATTTCAAAATTGCTTCTGATCACTGTTGCCTTTCAAACATCAGAAAGTGAATTTATTATTGTTTGACAATAGTATAATACATAAAATGTATTAATGTTTAAACTGAAACATCAGATTTTACATTGGATTTATCACTTTACCTTCAATCAACGCTGTCATGAGAATTTCAAAGTGTGTTAGAAAAGTCTTCCAAATAAGATTTTCCATAGTAATATTTGTTTACACATGTAAAAAGTATACATATTTGTAAATATGGTATGAGTCAATGAACAAAATAGCATTACTATATGATTTTAATTTTCTTTTTTTTTTAATGAAAGCCATTACAATGGCTCTTATTTTTAATTTTGAAATTAATGTATGAAATAATCAATAGTTTTAGGTTTTCTATCTATGTATCTACTGCACTAACTTCATATAAACATTTGTCAATGTCATTAAAATATCAGAAATAGGTCCTATGTAAGAAATCAATAAATCTGACATTTATAAAATGTCATTGCTTGTCTGTTGGAAGCCAGATAACATTTTGACAGTTGTTTAAATATTTTTTTTAGATTGGAAAGTGTCATTGTGAAAGAACGAACAGAATTCATTATAATCTATTTGTAGGTGAACTGTTTTTTTTATTTCATGCTTCTGAGAAAAATAATGATAAACTTTTTTGTTTTTTACAATTGGCATACTCCACTCTGTATTTTTTTGTTTTTTTTTTTGTTTTTTCTATTGGTGTCATACCTCTTAGAACATTCCACCATTGTCATAATGAAGACACTCACCTGGCAATGTCAGTACAAGAAAGATAACTTATCACAGCAAAAAATTAGACAAAAGAACACACAATCACTTCAATGATTATTTTGGTACTGAAAACTATGGTGTTAGTAGTTTCAAGTACATCAGAATTTGAATGGCTTGAATTATTGGAAGCATGGAATTGTAATTTGGTATTCAAAGAATCTTTTAATTGATACTAATAGTTTTAAGTATTCTATAGGATTATTGTTACAGAAGGAATTTTTACAAAGTTTTAATATACTCATAAAAACAAAAAATAACTGACTTTATTTTTCAACTCTTCTCTTTGATAATTTATTACCTTTAAATATTTATTACAATTTTTATTCTATTCCAGTTTAGGGCATTAGGGACAAAATAACTTTTGCAAAATTTATAAGTTTAAAATACTTTTTAGATTTTTTTTTACTTTCAATGTTTAATAAAAATTTTGAGAAAGGAGATAATGGTTTTGGTTTTCTTTTGGAAACTGTTAAGAGTACATTTTCACATACTGCTCAGTTATTTTGATACAACTAGTATAAGTATCTTGTCTGACTAAGTTTAATAATTTTTCTGATGGTTATAGTGAAATATGAACTTGTGTTACAAATATCCATGAATTTTGTTTGATTATGAAGTTACTTTTTATTTATTTTTTTTTAATTATTTCACCCCAAGCAAGGCAATAAAGCCACTAAAACACAAGGGGTTACTGAGTATGAGAGAATATGAGAAAAAGAAAACATTATTAAGACAGAAGATAATGATTGACATTGCATTTAAATTTTTGAAGATCGTAGTTGACAGGAAAGCAAGAAACCAGAATTTCCCAAATTAGAAAAGAAACGGTTAACATAGAACTTATGATTACATTTAGCCATTTCAACAGTAAAATGAAATCTTGCTGCTAATCTAGTACTGCGCTTAAATTTATAAAGTTCATCAGAACAGTTACCATGAAAATATTTATAAAAAACACCACAAGAAAGCTGTTACAGTGGGTTGACTGAAGTCGAGATGCCAGATCAGGACCAATAACATTTGTATAAGATTTTGTTTATATCAAATCTACTGTTAAACTTTTTCTCTAAGTTCTGTTTATGTATCAGTTTTCAAATAGTTGCTCTTTCATATCCAATAATTTCAAATGAGTTAATGACAAAGTAACAGCATATTCAGTAATTAGTTATTAATCAAGATAAAACAAAACTTTGCTTGATTATTGTTAAATTAGTTTGCTTGCAGTTCAATGCCTCAAGTATTCACTGTTAAAAAGTAAAGTAATATTTTAAATCAAATTATAAATTGTAATTTTTTTTTTAAATATATTGGTTTTAAAATCAAATGCAATTAAACTTTTAGTTAAATGGAAAATTGATCTCAAGTATTTTGTAAATAAACACTGCTCTGGTATATTTAAATATTTGAATTTAACTTATTTTAAGTTAATTATAAGATGAATCCTTCCAAACAGTAATGTTGGAATTTATTCGCAAATTTCAAAGTGAAGGTGTGACATTTGGTGAGACTTCAATTTCAATATCATGGCTCTCTTGTAGAGAGAAATAAATAACAATTAAAAAGAAAAAAATATCTTATATTTTCCATATATTGGCAAAAAATATTCAACTGCTTTATTATTATCTTTTTGTTTGTATAAGATATATTTTAGATGAAATCTATTTCAATTTTCTTTAATTTTCTTGTCTTATTTAGAAAATTGGGGAAAAAATTATTTTATTACATGAATAATGCTAATTGGTGGACAATTGGAAATAAAATGGAAAAGGGAAATTATTTCTGTTGTTATTCTTTAATTTAAATTGATGTGATTTTAAACTATGTGAGATGGATTATCATGGCTATTGTTGCAACAGAACTGTCTATGTTCCATAATTCAAAATGTACACACATGCTGAAAATGTAATTTATAAAAGTATATAAATACATGAAATATGTATTTATAAAGAAAATGGGTATTGCAGACTGTAAAATCACGTGATAAATAAAGAATGTATATTGAAGAATTCTCTTTTTAAGAAAAGACAATTTTTTACTTTTTTTGTTTTGCATAAACACATATTTGTGTATGTATATAGCATTTTTTTTTTCTTTTTTTAATTTAATTTAGGTATGTTGAAGACCAACTAAAGTTCTTTAAGATTTTTTTTTTATGGTTTGGATAATTTCTGTGGTTTCCAGAGAGAATTTAAACTTAAATTGTTTAATGTCTTCTGAATGCTTCATACTTAGACCATTAAATGTTTTTGTCTTTAAATAACCCACAAAGG